TTTGATTGTTCATCATGCTGGGAATAAAGAATTGAAAGTTCCGCAATGACACATTTCTGATAACTTAGGTGCTGTTTTTTTTAATAAATTACAGGGGAATTGCAAGGCACTGTAATTACCTTGGCGACTTGATGCTTGCTCTGTCCTTCAGTTTGCCCTGTGGAATAAGGTAACTTCTTCTGCTTGAGGTTCATCTTACAACTACCAAAAGTCATGTAGAAACTAATACCAATATCAAAACTTTCTAAGTTGATTTGGCTTTAAATTAAAGATGTTGATCTCTAGGCTGACTATAATCGATTGATAGAGTATGAGATTCTCTTAAGACCACCATTTGAACTTTCCAAAGCTTTCAAGTTCATTTTCCAAAGCGTTTTTATGATGTTGTATTGTGTATTCTCAGTTCTCCGGTTCCATATTTCTACCCGATATATCTTCTGATACTGTTGATATGGAGAGAACGAAGAGACGAGGTTCGATGTGCAGAGAAGTACAAGGAGATCTGGGCAGAGTATCTTAGACTTGTCCCCTGGAGAATACTTCCTTATGTTTATTAGATGTGCCAAGTCATCAATCCTTTCAGATTCATCATCCTGTGACATATTTTTTCATCGTCTTGTTTTCAATGTGACATTAGAAGATCCCATTATGGCCTTTTAGCATTTGTTGATTGATACTTTTGAAGTACACGTTTGAGAATTCTACTTAGTCACTGATATCAGCATTTTCTGATTTTATTTTTGGGCTGTTTTAAAGCCAGAGATTTACAGAAGAAACACGATTTGTTTGATGTAAAATCTCATGATGTGAGGGAAAAATAAAAAATGTCAAGATGTAGTAATATTGTACTTATGTAAATGTAAAAATACTCGAACAGGAATAAAGTGATGTTGAATATTGATGAATACAAAAATATCACAAAAATAGAAATTGACGATTACAAAAGTTAGATGGACCATCTTAATCGACTTGGAGACAGTTAAATGGACCATACACATCCGTGTTTCTATCTACATGTCAATATACATATATTCTTTATTTTTTGGGTATATTTTGTTTCCTTTTTTCTTCATAAATTATGTATTTCCTATATCATTTTCTTTCTTAAATATTGTGGAATGTCGTAACAGTTGTTTCCATTTATAATCATATTTTACTTTTAGTATGTCATAGATTTTTTTATCTATTTATTTGTCAACGAGCTTTATTAAAAAAATGTTGAAATACGTGTAAAAACCCCATAATTTTGTTATAATAATAAGATGTATCATTTTATAATTACTTGAACCTCAAAAGATAAGAAACAATAAACCATTGAAGATCCTAAAAGACACCTTTAAAGTTCAAAATGCTAACAATAACAAAAAGAAAGTTCTATTCTACAAACTGTGTCGGTAGAAAGCAAAAGACATGTTTATCAAAAAAAGAAAGCAAAAGACTTCGATAGTTTTTGATGATTCATGGGTTTGAAGAGTCGCAGCTGTTTTCGGTTATGTGTCTCTATCTAAATCTCAGATCTTTAATTTTCAATGTTCGGAGATATCAAAGTCGCACTTTTCTCTGAATCTAGAAACACATAACATTTTCAATAAGAATATTCTATTGAGATTCGTAGTCAACTATTAAGTGTTTTTTACGATTAGAAAATACTATATGATTAGAAATAATTGGGGGATTTATTATCTTACGATCTAGAATAATAATTCGCTTGACGGTTTGGGCCGTGGTAAGGCCGAAGTCATGCTTTTCCTTTAATAACTTATTGATTTACCAAATTACCCCTCAGCTAATTTGCTGAGAAAATACGCTATTAAGGGGTAGAACTAAGATTAGCCAAAACTGCCAATGAAAGATCCAACGGCTGAAAAAGCTATTTCTTGGGGAACATGCAAAGATCTGACCCTTAATTAACATTTTTCACCAACCAATAGACTCTCATCCTCAGCTATAAAAGCAGCCCTTTTCCTCTACTGGTCCACCATTCGTCTGCCTTCTTCCGCATCTCTTTAATTTCTCTCTAATTTCTCGATCTCTCCGTCTAACCATGTCTGCCTTCACCAGCAAATTCGCCGGTAAGATCTCGATCTCTCCCTCTAATATGCTTATATCCTCTAGCTGTTTTTAGAGTCGTGTATTGGATTCGATTCGTAGTCGTAAGATCTCTTGTGTTGCTTCTTATTAGCGTGTTTAATCGTCTAGATCTGGTTGATTCTATAACTTAGCTTGTTCTTAGAGCTGAATTGGATCTGTCGATGATTTCTATGTAAAAAACTAGCCTAGATCTGATTCTGTTCTCATCGGTTTTAGTACGGATCTAATCAGTATTCACGATCTGAAGTTTTCTCTATTGTTGTCTCTTATGGTGATTGATTTGTATATTCGTTTTTAAACCTATGCAGATGAGTTGATCGCCAACGCTGCCTACATCGGCACACCTGGAAAAGGTATTTTGGCCGCTGATGAGTCCACTGGTACCATCGGAAAGCGTCTCGCTAGCATCAACGTCGAGAACGTTGAGACCAACAGACGTAACCTCCGTGAGCTTCTTTTCACCGCCCCTGGTGCTCTTCCTTGCCTTAGTGGTGTCATCCTCTTCGAAGAGACTCTTTACCAAAAGAGTTCCGATGGTATGAATTAGATTAATTCATTTACTTAGTGTTTTACTCTGTATATGGTTTTTGATTTTTTCTTATTGATGATGTTTCTTTGTTCTCAGGTAAGCTTTTTGTTGATATCTTGAAGGAAGGAGGAGTTCTTCCCGGTATCAAGGTTGACAAGGGTACCGTTGAGCTTGCTGGAACCAACGGTGAGACCACCACTCAAGGTCTTGACGGTCTTGGTGACCGATGCAAGAAGTACTACGAAGCTGGTGCTCGTTTTGCCAAGTGGCGTGCAGTCCTCAAGATTGGCGAGAACGAGCCATCTGAACTATCCATCCATGAGAACGCTTACGGATTAGCTAGATACGCTGTTATCTGCCAAGAGAACGGTCTTGTACCCATTGTTGAGCCTGAGATCCTAGTTGATGGATCCCATGACATCCAGAAGTGTGCTGCCGTGACTGAGCGTGTTCTTGCAGCTTGCTACAAGGCCCTTAGCGACCACCACGTCTTGCTCGAGGGTACCCTCTTGAAGCCTAACATGGTGACTCCCGGATCAGACAGCCCCAAGGTTTCACCTGAAGTCATCGCCGAGCACACCGTCCGTGCCCTCCAGAGAACCGTCCCAGCAGCTGTTCCAGCCATTGTCTTCTTATCCGGTGGACAGAGCGAGGAAGAAGCTACAAGGAACTTGAACGCCATGAACCAGTTGAAGACCAAGAAGCCATGGTCATTGTCTTTCTCATTCGGACGTGCGTTGCAGCAGTCTACCTTGAAGACATGGGCAGGCAAAGAGGAGAATGTCAAGGCAGCTCAAGAGGCGTTGTATGTGAGGTGCAAGGCCAACTCTGAAGCCACACTCGGAACCTACAAGGGTGACGCTAAGCTTGGTGATGGAGCAGCTGAGAGCCTTCACGTGAAAGATTACAAGTACTGAGCATCGTCCATTTGTGACGTTGTCATCTTCCTGGATATATTTCTAGGGATTTTTCGTTTTTCTACTTGACATTATCGGATTAAAAGTGTTTTTTTTTCCTCGGTTTTCTTTTGGATTTGTGTTTTGATTTTGGTTGGGTTGTGTTTATTAGAATGAGTGTTTTAAAACACGCCCAAATAAAAAAAAACCATTTGAGGTTATTTCTGTTGAACCTCTTTTGGGGATTTGATAATCAGTTTCTGTTGATTCACCGCTTCTTGAACCTAAATTATTGTCTTTGGTTCTTTGATTCTTGTCTCTGAAAACTCAGTTTAACACGAAATCTGTCTATGAGCTAGCCTTCCTGTTTCATGTTCTCAACAGTATAACCATAATTGCTCTGAAGCTATAACCAAAAGATGCAAAGAGCTTCGAACAGGATTCAGAAACATGGAAGAAGAGTACACTTCTCAATTAATTTGCAGACACAAGAATATGAACAAGACAGTGGTAGTGTGTTTTCATTGTCTTCAAAAGCATTCCAAAATCCAACATTTATATATGCTAATGCTGTAATGAGAAAACACAGCTAATTTATGATATTCTATTCATGTGTAAGATGGGCCTCAAAGGGCCTACTGTTTGAAAGTATACTTAATTGATTCTCCACTGAATATCATAAATAAAAGCATTTGCTTTCCAGATCATGTCGACCAAATAGTTTGTAGATTAGCACATTGCTGTGTTTGTAGGATCGAATATTTCTATCTTACAGCTCGATTGAATATTTTAGTATACTAATTATTCAAAGAAAAAGGAATTTGCTAGATTAGGAAAACAATAATTGGAAAATGGAAATACTTGACGAGCACACGCAAATATCATATCTTTTCCATTTTGTTAAGTGTTTTTTTTTAGCAATATTTGATTCTTTCCATTTTACTGAAAATATCATTTCTCGTATTTTGTTTTACAAATGATATTTTTTTTTGACATTTTGATACAAAAGTTAAGCTGCCAATAACATTTTGTGTTTGAAAACAATTAATTGGAATTTATCGAGTCTATTGTGTATTTGTGTGGGTCAAAGTCATGATTTGCTTTGACAAGAAGTCGTTTCCATTTCAAAAACACCACACACGCTCGACGGCGTGAGGCTACTTTCTAAAAAAGCTAAAAATAATTTGGGGGGAAACAGAAATTAAAATAAAGCTAAACAATATAACAAATTAAATAATATTGAAAAAAAAAGCAAGAAAAAAATTCAAACTTACAAACCCTTTAAGCATTCAGTAGCCTACGAAGAAGTATTATCCCATTTCCCTTCCCTAATAATAATGGTTAATCAAAAACACGAAAAACCCATCATAATTTTACAAATCAACCCACAGATCATAGCCAAAAGAAAAAGAAACTAAAACACCCAGAAACTAAAACATTCCAAAATGTAAAAATAAATACATCAAATAGAACCATAACCCTAAACCCAAATTAGTTCTTGATTGGTTTGGTCTTGTCTTGTGAGAGATAGATTCACTCGGTGTCTATGCTCTTGCTTAGCTCATCCAGCTTCTTCAACCTCAGCTTCTCGCTTTCTCCAACCAACTGTCCCATCTCCCCAGGGAGAAATTAAGCAAACAGAAAACAAATCAATACGGTTAATAAGCGCGAAAAAAAACTCGAATTTTGTACTCATTGTTCAGCGAAATCAAGAACTGAGAATTCGAAACTAACCTCCATTAGTTTGGTGATCAGCTGAACTTTCTCACGGTTCTTCTCGTTGAATGTATCCAATGCTTCTTTGTATTCCCTTTCCTGTTTTCATGTCATTACACAAACCAAAAACATGAGTTTCGGTTTGGTTCATTGAATCAAAAAGCAAATAGCAAAACAATTCTAAAGATTTTGACTTTTTGGGAACCCAAATCTTTTTGTCAACACCATAACAACCCAAAACCAATTCAGTTGACATTAAGGTTTGAGTTTGGGTTTGGTAAAGACCAAAACTTTTTATAGCAACCGGTAGTGAGACATATTTTATCGGTAATCGAATGAAACAACTGCTCTTGAAAAGTGTATTTACCTTCTTTTGAACAGTAGAGCCTAATGGTTTGAGTTCTTTGTTGACGCTATCAATCTTCTTACGCACCCAATTAACTTCCTTCCTCATGGGATCTGCCATAGTCTCAAGCTCCTGAAATAAAAACATGATAAATTTCCACAAAGTCAAACCCTTGCCTGAGAACAAAACTTGTTAACTCAACTACAAGAAGCAGATATTCATGTCCAAACCAAATCCTAGCTTTCACATTTACTCAAACAGAAAAGTTTGTTCTTTGTTCACCAAATTGAGTACATGCAAAACCATCTGCTTACAAAGTTAAACCATTTATGTATATATCATTCGCAAATCATCAAATTTCTTAAAAAGGAGAAAAATTTCCCATTTCCCCTATCCCCTGAGCCCCAAATCTACAATTTCACATCTTTCAAAACCCTAATCTTCTAAAAATCACAGAAACAGCAACAAAAAGTTCAATTCACAGAAAACACAAACACAAAAGAAGGAAGTAGTAAACTTGCATGAGTGTAATTTCAAACCAAGCTCAAATAAAATCTCTCAGATCTTAAAAGTTTTAAACTTTAAAAAGGAAAAATGAAAACAAACCTCGCGAATACTAGCAAGACGACGAGTCTCTTCCTCAACGCGACCAAGCTGAGCCTTAACCCTTTCACGAACTTCCATTTTCCTCTTCTCAATCTCATCTTCTTTAGCCCTAAAAGCAGAGAGAGCAGAACGAGCCATCTCTTCGTCTTCTTTAGACATCTGACTACTAAAACTCAAGCTCATCATCTGCTGAGGCTGATTCTGAGGCTGTGTAGGCTCCGTCGTTGTCATCTTCGGTTTCACTTCGTCCTTGTTCTTGTTTTGGTTAGTGTAACTGTTCTTTTTCTTCCTCAAGCCGCAACAAGAACGCGACTGATGCAATTCCTCAGTGGAATTCCGGTGGGGTTCTTCGATTAACCCTATTTTTACTGATTTGGGATTGAATCTAAGCAAAAAGCTTTGGTTTTTAATGGAGTTTTTTTCTCTTTGAGTGGGTTTGTTTGTGTGTTGTGTGTGGTAATGGTTTCTTCTCTCTGTCCTCTTCTTCTCACTCTTTTATATTTTGTTTGCTTTCTCCTTTTTTTTTTTTTTTGGGTTTTAATATTTAATTGTTTGTTTTACGTATCCGTTAAGTTCGTATATTTCTCAAACAAATACTTTAATTACGTGTCGTTTAGAGATTGTTTTTCTCTTTTATTTTTTTTTTTACGTGTCGTTTAGAGATTGTTTTTCTCTTTTATATAAACAAATTATTAGCTTTGATTTAATCCTATATATTTGGAAGTTTGTTTGGATATATGCGAATATTATTGAAGATGTAATTGGTACGAGGAATTTTTTGAATTTGAATCCTTGCTTAAAATGCGAATATTCAAGGCTTTTTTCTTAACTAACATATTTGAATGTGAATTATATATTTTTTTAACAGCGTGAACTATATATGATTATCTTTTTAGGTATAAAATATCATTAACTTTAATCTTTTTCAAGCTAAATGAGATTAGAGAAGAGAGCAATTTGTATACGAGCAATTTCATAATATGTATTGATTTTTGTCGTCTGGTCTTTTGACATTAATACGTTAACGGTCAATTTCAGGAAACATTTAATGTTTTATTTTTTTGAACGGTGGATCATTTATTGATGTTAGTAGATGCAAATTTTGGTGTTTTCTAAAGTATTGTTTATTTGCAAGTTTTGGCTTGCCACTTGGCGTTTTTCTCGAATTTTAAATGAATCCAATTTCCATCTTTCAAAAAAAAGATGACGGCTGTAAAGTAAAAGCCGAAATGTGTAAATGATACTTTATAGTTTCTTAGTATACTAATCAATTCGATATATACTGATTTACAGCTTCACAAATCACAATAATAATAATGCGATGACAGAATACAATCATAAAGATTTATTATACTAGTGTTGTCACAATGTGCCAATCTAACTCTTACTCTGGTCTAGCTTTAAGGATCGGATTCACTCTTATTCAAATATCATCATATAACACATTATAAGAAAAAGAAGTTGTGAGAACAGTTAACGAAAAGGGTAAATATGATAAGAGGCTATCAATATAAATATACTGCGATCGGTTGTTTCTGATATGCATGCAATTTAAAATCTGATTCTAAAAGCATATACGTACGTGAGATAATCAAAGAGTTTTGTTTTTCTTTATTAATTTTGAAAAGGCAAAATGCCAACCAAAGCTGCCCAATCATATGACCAGCATTTATTATCTTTCTACTTACTCCGGAGACAGCTTCAAAGATGCAAACAAAAATAAAAGACATTAAGAGAACCAAAAGCTTATGAAATAATTCTAGGCTAAAATATGTTCCATCTAACAATGGGTATTCATTTACACTTGTTTCTTTTCACATTGTTTTAGACTTGCAGTGATTATTCATATTGATATTATATCTACCCGATTTACTCATATTGCAAAATAAACATGGAATCTATGATACTCCAAACTCGATAGAAAATGATAATATTTACACACAAAATAGAAAAATGGAAAAAAATGAATGGAGTAAAAAAGAGGTGTAAACACAAAGCAAGAGGAGAGGAGGCAGCTCACTAAACGCGTTAGACACTAGTTATCAATTTCTTTCCAGTTCTCACCTTCCCTTCTTAAACTATTTTAGTTTTCTTATTTTCACCATCTTTTCACTGAATCCAAGCAAACAAGAGTGATTTTTGTTCATCCTTATCTCATACTACGACGGTCGAATTCTCTCTGAAAGAAAATACATTGTCAGAAAGCCAAATCATTCATACATGTTCATTGATTGCTCATAATTTGAAGTATTGTGGAGCTAATCGACAAGGACTTTAAATAAAATTTTGTTTATAGATTGGATTAATAATATGTATAACTAGTTTTCTTGTAAAAGTCATATTTTTGTTGAGATTAGTTGGGTTTTTGCTGTCAACTATATTGAGTAATGAGTACTAATGTTAGTTAAAGCCGAGCAAACTTACATGCACTTTTTTTTTGGTTTTCCTACATGTAGTGTCTATTACATTAATCGAACATCAACATAACTACATATCAGAGATAAGTTTTATTGGAAAAGTAACAATGAGTACGTTTCACTTTAAGACATGCAACAATGTCTTCTTCATTCATGGATTTAATGTGAGTGAGGTCAATAAAAAACACTTTACAGATTGGAATTTTTCATAGTGAGTGTAGTAAAATTAAAAGATAAAACAAAAATGATTTCCAAATAAAAGCATAGATGATTACCTAAAACAAAAGGCATGATGATTGATCGTTAGTGCTACAGAGAAGAACCGGTGGCGGTAGGGGACCAAACATAAATTCGTCGCAAGACTCACACAAATGTACGGCCTAGATTGAGAGATCGTCAAGATATCTCATGGTAGGGTCAATCCAACGGTGTGCCTAAAAGCAGATCCTCGAGGAATGGTAACGACTACCATGTTCTTCAAATGTTAGCCGTCACATTTATGTTATTTGTGTATTTTGTCAATCGATTGAATATGAATATGACTTAACGTTTCACAGAAATATATTTTAGCAAATTTACAACAATAGAAGAACATGCCAACATGAAGGTTTTATTATCATCTCCTAACTCGAGTATTTTGGTTTAGATTATGTGTTTCTCTGGTTAGAATCGAATATTTAATGACTAGTAGAATCAAAATAATGTTAAAAACTAACAACATTGGTCAAATTATACATCAAATCTTAAAGAAGATTTATGTTTAATTTGACCAATATTGAATATATAAGCCCATGAAGAAATTAGAGGTCTGTTTATTTCGGTAGTTGTTGGTGTACTGTTAAACGTAGAGTTAAAGAAGCCCATAAGAAGCATTCCAAAAAATATTATAAGCCCATTAAGAAAATAATTTAGGCACGTGGTACCACGTGAGGCCTCGCGTGCTAGCGTGACTTGGCTTTTTTACCCTCACATCCCAGTTCCCACCAAACCAATCACACCACAAATTGAATTATTTGACACAATGTTCCAAAAAGACGCATTTGTCTTCTCAATGTTCTCATGAGATTAATTTATGATACACTTCAGTTCCTGTCTTTTTATAAACCTCAAAGATTAATTTATGATCTTATTTTTGCCACAACGACGTAGATTACTGATCAGTCTTAAATATTATATACATATATATTGTTTTATAACTCTTTAATTTTTATGAGAATGGGGAACGAAAGTCAACTTATCAAAAAATTGTACAAATTTTTATGTTTATTATCTTGCCCTTAAGTGGTTCGATTTTATGTAGCCGAACTCACCACGGCCCGGCCCATCGTAAGTGAACGTAAATGGCGTAGTGCGTAAATAGACAGTAACTTTTGGAGCAGAAAGGTAAATAATCCCACACATGCCGACAAAAAAAGTAAAAACAAAATAGCGGGACCCACTGTCTGTGCCCTCGTCGGAGACTAGAGAGCAACAAATTCGAGCTCGACTCGGCTCGGCTCGCATGATTTTCAAATCTGTGTGAGTAGGTGTCGAGTTTGGGCCGGGCCCTCTTCTGATCTCATCTGGTCTTAATTCTAGCACGTGACCCAACCCTTGTCCACTGAATAATATATATATATATATATATATATATATATTTGGACTATCTTTATTTTTTATATTTTTTGTCAGTTTCTTCATTTTATTTTGTTTTACGAAACAATTGGAACATGAGCAACAAATAAAAATGTAGCGGATAGTCTCTTCCCGACAACTTAATAGAAATGGTGTTTGAGAAAAAAAAAAAAAAAAAAAAGAGCAACAAATAAAAATGTAGTATGGTAATTTAAACTAATGCATTTACCATATATAAGTTATAACCATGTAGGTTGAAAGCTCACAAGATACAAAGTTAGTCAATCAACATCTATTTGGTTGTTTTTTTTTTTTTTTTTGGTAACAATGTTAAGTATTTATACCATTTTCGCAAATTTTGACAGAAATTACAGAGAAACAAAGAAAAAGATTGACCGAAAACTACAGAAACCACCAAAAACTACAACACAACAACAAGCAGAAAACGGGAAAAAAGCACTAGCGAAAACTCCACAAACAGAGACCCGAGAAGAAACACCGATTCCAAACCGTAAAGCTCGGAAATTTGCGTGGTTTTCTCAGCTCCAAAGAGCTCGAATCCTCATCGTTGTTGCCACGAGCAACCCAAACCGTGGCCCGTCCTCAAAACCTTAGAAATAGGCACTTACAGCTTCTCCGAGGACTAACGCAAAAACGGAACGGCTATAGTGGACTAAAACACACACCCGGCGGCACGGGAGCATCTACGGGCAGCCAGAGAAGCCGCCTCCAGCCACCAATCCTATCGCGAGCAACATGAAACATCTCCCACGGGATAGCGAAGCCACCTAGACCAAACCGCCGCCTCTATTCCCCACAGAGAACCCCACCGGAGCAACACTCGAAACAATCTTAACCGCAAACCGCAGTAGGCGAACTTACAACAGTACAACAACAACAAAATACAGCAACACACAAGTAGCAACCAAACTGAGCCACCACGGAGCCACATTGAAGCCACAAACGAAAGACGAAGATGCACATAGCACCTCCACACCCCGCCGTCGCAGCCGCCCTGAACAGAAGTTGAGAGCCTCCGAGAGCTCCATCCAGCCAGAGAGAAGCCAAAAAAGATCCGAATCCGATTAAGGGCCGGAGAGACCAAATCGACGGCGAGAGAGGGTCTGAACCGGAGCCGTCCTTGAGCTCCATCACCTCCTCCGCCGTCAAGCTCTCCAACCGCAAAAATCAGATAGGAATCATCTCCACCCGAGCTCAAACACACGCCGCAAAAAAAAAACAGATCCACCAAGCCGAGACCACCAAACCGAACCAAACGCCTCACCTAAGCCACGAACCAGAACTGGAGAGAAGGAACACTGCGCGAAGAGAAGACGATAGCCAAAGCCGTGAGTCTCTTAGCCACCACGCCGCAACTTAGCTTCGGAGCAACAACCTTCAAGAGACGCAGATCGACGGCGAGCTACGGCAAACCCAAAACCAATCCAAAGGGGGAGAAGGGAATACAGCTGAGAAGCATAAATGGGAGCCTCCCCGACGCCGGAGAAGCACACCGGAGAGGCAGATCGAGCCTTGTCGTAGATCTACTTTTGCTTCTGTGAAACTGAAGAGAGAGAAGAGAGAAAGCGCGTGAGCCCCACGCGCAAGGGTTAAAAGTTCTGATCTTCTTTTTTCTATTTGGTTGTTTTTCTACAGTAAAAAAAAAAAAAAAAAAAAAAAAAAAAAAAAAAATATTTGGTTGTTTTTGTTACCATTACTGCCTTATAATCTTTGTTTCATTGTTTGTGTTCATGACTGAAAAAAGACATACAATGTCATTATGTTCACACTTTGCTTCAGTTTGTTTTCCTTCAATGTCATTATCTTTGGTATATGACAAGTTCTGGCCCAAAGATATTATTAGTTCACAAGATCCATTATTAGTGAAGATCCATCATTAGTGCACATGATCCATTATACAATCAAGTATCAACAAATATTATTTCTATTTTAGAGGCTACTATTTTTTTAGGCCTTTTGAGAAACATTTTTTCTAAGAAGAAAAAGAAAAAAAAATGTTTATAATTTTCAGTTGACTATAAAGGCAAGGATTCATACAATTTTACAAAGATTTTTATTAAAGAAAAATAAAAGTTTACAAAGTTAAAAAAGAACCTATGGTATATTTTGAAAACAATGTTTTTTTCAGATACTCCCTCCGTTTCAGTTTAGTTGTCGTTTTAGGATTAAAATTTTGTTTCATAATAGTTGTCGTTTTAGGTTTTCAATGCAAATGTTTGGTGAAAATTTATGTTTTGTCCTTAATGTTTTAATGTTTTGACCAATGAAAAAATTATAAAATATATTAATAAAGGGTAAAACAGAAAATTTAATGATTTTCTAATTTGTGTGCGAAAACCTTAAACGACAACTAAAACGAAACACAGGGAGTATCGAATTTTCAGATATTTTTCTTGTGGAGGAGCAAATATAAATGCCGCCGAAACTGGTGGGAATGAATGAAAAGAAAACTCTCTCAAAAGTCATCATAGTCTTTGGCTGTGTGGCTCACTCCTACATGAAATATCGTTATCGTCCTTCTCATATTTAATACTTTATTTCCTCAAATCTACAAAATAATGCTATCGTTTTTTGTTTTGGCACCACCAAATAAAGATACTTTGAAAATCATAAATGCCTTTTGTATTATTCAGCCAAGTGAAGATATCAAATAAATGTTTCTAACTTCATTTTAATAAATGTTTCCAAGTTTACTTGGCCTTTTCTAGTAATAATATTATTCCCTCGTTTCGATACTAGCTAGCCATGTTTTATTAAGAGAAGAAAATTACAAGATAATGTTCATTTCTAGTCATATAAGGAAGTTCAATAATCCAAATTCCAAAAGCTTCAAACAAACACAGACGTTACATATAATTTTATGAGTAATAATAATACTGTAACAGATGATAAAGTAATGACGGTTACAAATTAGAACTAACTAAATAAAATAAACAATTTATTAGCCAAAGACAAACATGGTTAGACCACTAGAAATGCTAATTAGAATATGGAAAACTTACTAACCTCTAGTTTCTTGTAAATAGAAAATCATAATTAGTCACTTCACCTATAATCCAGAGCTCAGATTGTAATTGCAGCTCTCTGACTACTCTACAATTTTAGTCAAACCAAAATGATTACTTAAACTTAGAAGTTAGAATCTGATATACATTTGTAACACAATCTCTGAAACAAATGACATCTGTATGACAAAAATTGAAGGTTACTTACTTTACATCACATTAAATGAATCCTTAATTAAATAATTTACAATATCTTATTAATAGGCTTCTCTTTAACCTACTTATGGAATATTAAAATGAGGTAAAAGAGGAAGTGATATTTCCAAGGCAGTGAGACATAAACACTGCAGGTTACTATCTCTCCATCTGCATCTTGCAGTGCTTTCTCTCTTTGTTTTCTGACTTACATAATTTTATATCACATAAAGTAACAATTGTTAAACCTATCAAATATTATACTTACTATAATTTTGTTATCCTATCAACTGTCTTGTCTCATAGCCTAAACACTTTTCTCTAGCTCTCTCTAACAAAGAGTGAAAAAAGTTTTTTTTTTTTTTGGATATTTACATGAGAAGCCAAACAAATAAGACTTTTGTTGTGGTTGTCTTTGCTTATTAAGCCAGACTCTCTAAAAACAAAAGAAGTGAGGGTAAAAAACTATCCCAAAAGCAACCAACACATTTCTCTGTCTCTTTTTCTCTCTCTCTCACTCACTCTCTCTTTGTTCCATGGACTTGCAACTGAAACAATGGAGAAGTCAGCAGCAGAATGAGTCAGAAGAACAAGGCTCTGCTGCAACTAAGATATCAAACTTTTTCTTTGATCAGATTCAGTCCCAAACTGCAACTTCTGCTGCTGCGGCTCCTCTTCCTCTCTTTGTCCCTGAACCCACTTCTTCCTCTTCTTTCTCATGCTTCTCTCCTGACTCTTCTAACTCTTCTTCTTCCAGGTTCCTCAGTAAGTTGTTTCAAAAGGACAAGACTTTTTCACTCAAATGTTGAAGTTGTTATTGCTGATATTTAATCTGACGTTTCTATGTTACATATGTAGAGATGGGAAACTTTTTTAGCTGGGCACAGTGGCAAGAACTTGAGCTACAAGCACTGATCTATAGATACATGTTGGCTGGTGCTTCTGTTCCTCAAGAGCTTCTCTTACCTATCAAGAAAAGTCTTATCCATCAATCTCCTATGCATTTCCTTCACCATCCTCTTCAACATAGTTTTCCTCATCACCAACCTTCTTGTCAGTCTCTCTCTCCTCTCTCTCTTGTTTATGCTTCTCATATCTTTGAAAGAATCGTTTCTTCAAAGAAAGATTCCTTTTGTTTTGATATTGGAGTTATGTTTCCAAGATCTAGAAATTCCACACCAAAAAATAAAGAAAGTATAAGGCTGCTCTGCAATCTTCTAAGGATTTAAAACTCTATGTGTATAAGCCTATCTCTAGAAGATCTATTAGCAACATAGAATCAGACAAGTACATTCTTAATCAATGTCTTGAGTGAGATTTATGTTTGTTGTTACTAATGAACACACTTAAAAAAAAACAGGGTATTGGGGAAGAGGAGCAATGGATCCTGAGCCAGGGAGGTGCAAGAGAACAGACGGCAAGAAATGGAGATGTTCAAGGGATGTTGTAGCCGGCCACAAGTATTGCGACCGCCACATCCACCGTGGAAGAAACCGTTCAAGAAAGCCTGTGGAAACCGCCACAACCACCACCACAACAACAGCCACAACAACCGCATCTTCTTTTGTCTTAGGAGAGGAGCTTGGTCATGGACCAAACAACAACCACTTCTTCTCCTCTGGTTCATCTCAACATCTCCACCTTAGTCATCAACAAAGGTACAATAAAAAAAACAAACACTCTGTTTAATTGAAGTCATTATTAGCTTTGGTTAAAGGATTTTAAAACATAGTTTTGAATGATTAAAATGTTGTAGTTAGGGAATAGTTATTTCACTGTGAAGTAATGCTGTGAAGAAAGGGGTAATGTTGGCAATAGGGTGACAACAGAGACTTATCATACTTTGTGATAAAAACATTATTCTTTCTTTTGTTGAGAGATAATGATAACAGTTGGATTTGATAGAATCTAATTTTATTTACTAGTTGGGTGAGACTTTTCAATCAGAGAAATAGAAAAGAGAGAGAAAAAGAGAAATGTGTATACTTCTGTATTTGAAATAATGAGATGGTAGGACCTCAGTGAAAGCTGACCAAACCTGCATAGAAGCAAAAAATAAAAAAGCTCTCAGATTCTGCAACCACTTCCTCTTAAAACACACATTTGAGGACATAAATGACTGATTAACTTATTTCTCTAACCATTTTGTTGAATTGATTGATAAGTCTAACTAAATGGATAAAAGTTTGGAACATTTCTTGTTATTATTGTTCAAATGTTGGATCTTTTTGTTGACAATGTTCATGTTTTGTCTAATCATAAGAGATTGTGTATTTCTCTTTGTCACAGTTGTTCTTCAGAGATGAAACAAGAAAGCAACAACAACAAGAGGCCATATGAAGCTAACAGTGGATTCAGCAATGGAAGATCAGACGATGGTCACATCTTGAGGCATTTCTTTGACGATTGGCCACGATCATCGGACTCTACCTCCAGTCCAATGAGCTCATCCACTTGTCATCTTTCAATCTCCATGCCCGGTAACAACGCTTCCTCAGATGTTTCTCTAAAACTTTCCACTGGCAATGAAGAAGAAGAAGAGAACATGAGAAACAACAATGAGAGGGAGCAATTGAATTGGTGGAGCAATGGAGGGAATCACCACAATATGGGAGGACCATTAGCTGAAGCTTTGAGGTCAGCTTCATCGACGTCTAGTGTTCTTCATCAGATGGGAATCTCAACTCAAGTCTTTCATTGAAGAAAAGTGTTTGTAATCTTTTTGGTTTGTGGTCTTTGAATCTTTATTTTCTGCAGAAAATTTTCTCTGAAGTTGTGTTCTTATTTCATTGGAGTTGTGCCAAAAATTTCCTGCTTTTGGAATTGTTTTGTTCCATACTCTGCTAATATATTTATGTTTAAAGCTTGAGAATTTGTATAAGCAATGAAACTTTGTTTCACAATCAAATTTATATGATCTTCTCTTCCCCTATATAAGAGAGGTTACTTGAGTTTTTAACAAAAAAAAAACACTTGAGCTAACCGAATCAATTTTGGAAAACCAGTTAAACCACCTCGATCGAATCAGCCGGTTTCCGGTTTAAAGTAAAACCAAAACCCTAATAATTTTCTTGCTGTCTTCTCCACCGGCGTCACATAGATAGACGGTGAAGCCTCGAACTTAACCGAAGCAGACCGGAATAAACCTTTTCCGGTCCATCTCTAATTCACAGTCGTTGGGGTTTTGTGTTCGGCTTCAATCGCAACACACTTGCCAGAACCATTTCGTCGTTTCTTCTCGCCAGATTCTGTGCTCCGGCGGCAGAAAGTTTCCGCCTTTAAAGTACGTCAAGAAAAATTTAAACTTTCTGATTAATTTCTAAAACCCTTTTTCGAATGTTTGTTTCATTGTCTGATTTGAAGGATTTTGGTACAACAATACTCAAATTTATACACTTTTTTACCTGATATGTGAATTTTTGTAGTGTCAATTAGGACAAGTGTTTTGGAAGTTTGATTCACTTATTTGGACAGGAAATGAAGTATGTGAAGCCTTTGAGCTTATTGGGTAATGCGTTGAAGACAAAAGTATCAGTCCCTGGTCGGTTTCTTGGTTTAGATGTTGGTGATAAGTATGTTGGATTAGCTATCTCAGATCCTACAAATATGGTTGCTTCTCCATTGAGGTACTTATGATTCAGTGTCTAGATTCAAAGTGTTCAATCAGATACTACAACATTAATCCTGTCTAATTGTATTAGATCAATTTGATCACCATCAAAGCTATTGAAAAACTAATTACTTCTCTTGCAGTGTTCTGCTCAGGAAGAAAACAAACATTGACTTGATGGCTACAGATTTTCAGAACCTGGTATGTGTTAACTCTAGATTTAACAAATACATAGATTTTAGTTCCTGTTAAGAAATGGAGAAGCTATCATTTCTTAGTTGTTTTGGACAATGAAGAAGAAAGCTTGGTAGTATAGATTAGTGTCTACTAAGATTGTAATGTTTGATGTACTTTCATCCTACGGCTTTTTGTGATTTCTGGTGATTAAAGGATCAAGGTTTTATCTTTTAGGTGTTGATGTCTCTGTAAAACTTACTGTTAAGTTATAGCCAGTACAAGTCCTTGACGTTGTAGATATCTATCAACATGTAGACTTATGAATTCTGTTAGCTTATACCAATCATTTGTCGTCACTGATCTCATTGTTACATGCAGGTCAAAGCATTTTCTGTTTCGGGCTTAGTCGTTGGTTATCCATTTGGCAAACTGAACAATGTAGAGGATGTAAGCTTTTTTTATCCATTGAATTGTGAAATACTTTTCCTCTTCATTAGCACTTATAACTGAAAAGGATTTTTCAACTTGGAACAGGTTGTCACTGTGAATCTTTTCATTGAGGAACTTCGTAAAACCGAAAAACTCAAGGATGTGAAATACACATATTGGGACGAGCGGTTATCATCAAAGGTATACTCAGATTTAAAGATCTTGTACGTCATAATAAAGATAAGTGTTAGCATATAACCGCATAATTTATAAGCCCTTGAATCTCATGTAATACTGTCGACAGACCGTTGAACTGATGCTGAAGCCCTTAAATTTGCATCCCGTTCAAGAGAAGACAATGCTGGACAAGTTAGCCGCAGTAGTTATACTTCAGGTAAGGTTACGAATACTCATATAAAGATCGATAGAATCTGTTCTTATATTTCCTCCTTGATCACTTTTATGTTTGATTGTTACTTGCAGGAGTATTTAGATTACGCGAACAGGTATCTAAACACTGAGCCAGCAGAGTAAAAGAAAGACGGGTAATGACAAAATAGGCTGGTGCAGCTAGTTTCAGATATACGAATATAATGATGGTTGATTTGTTGTGACACTATCTATGTGTACAAAGACATCTTGCATCAAACTGATTTTGTATTCGTTTAAGAAATTTGTTTTCCGCTGCATTCATATCTTTAAACCTTAGGCAAATCATCATTTATCGTACATCCTGTTACATTGTAGCTCACGTTTAATAGAGAGGACCTGGATAGAATCTAATACCAAAAACCTCAAACAAATTTTTAGACTCTTTTAAGGTAAGATCCATGTGGATTGCTTCTACTCATTGCAAGGTTCCAACAGTCTTGTTGATTTCCTCCAGTTTCTTTATCCTTAATCTTTCACTTTCAGCCAGTAACTGCCAAAGAAAATCATCAACACATTGGATCTGCTGTAGGAATCTACAAAGCTTAAAGTGGTTTAGACTAAATACCTCCATTAACATGGAAACAAGGTGAGCTTTCTCTTTGTTCTTCTCGTTGAAAGCTTCCAATGTCTCTTTATATTCCTTCTCCTGTCAAATTATTCTCTTATGTTAAAACAAAGCTGCAGAATTAGAAAATGAAAATGTGAAATACCTTTTTCTGACAGCTTTGTGCCAAAGATTTGATATCTCGATTCGCCATGTCGATTTTCTTCCTCACCATTCCAACTTCTTTTCTCATAGGATCTCCCATAATCTCTAGCTCCTGTGTTAGTAAGAACATTATTAACTTTGTTGTCTACCATGTTAAACAAAAAAAGGCTTTTTAACTTACTTCCAATGTTTGAGTTAAGCATCTTGTAGCTTCCTCTGCAAAACCGAGCCTCTGTTGAACTTTTTCCTTAACAGTCATCTTCTTCCTCTCGATCTCTTCTTCTCGGGCTTGAAACCTCGACACTGCAACTTTCCATATCTCTTCTTCTTCATTCTCCTCCATTGGTAACTTACCGTTGATGTTGACTCCAGAAGCTGCAGCAGCTCCTAAGTTGTTCTTGCTACTCATTTTTTTTTTTTTTTCTCTATGTCTCTCTCAGTATCTATTTATCTACTTTCACTATGTCTTTTGCTTTTGCTTAAACCTTCCCAAACATAATTGCTTTGCTTTTACACCATCCCAAAATCAAAGCAAGCAATCCCGCCAAAAGGGAAAGTAAAAAATCAATTTCGTAATTAAAGTGGAGCCAATCTGATGATCAAAGATGTCCTTTTTGGGCTTTTCTTCTTTTAATGTTTGCAAGTTGAAATCTTTGTAACATAAATTATTCGGCATTTGGATTGCATATATATGGGAAAAAGAGTTGCCACACTTTTTTAAACCTCTTCATGTATATGATTCTTAAGAAATCACCACTATCAAGTTGTGTCATATTTCTTTGATTTACATTGGGTAAACACAGGCCCGGCCCAGTAGGGTGAGGGCAGAGGTGCAACTGCCTAAGGCTCATTAGCCTTTTAAAAATATTTTCTTGACAAAAAGGCCCAATTTTCTCAAAAAAAAAAATAGATCTAGGCCAAAATATGTGCAAACCAGGCAAGACTTTTTTTCCTTTCATTTCTTCTCTTCTCTTCTTCTTATTCACTAATGAAAAAGTACATTTTCTTTGCTATGAATAACAGAAGAGTATATTGTCAATTAATGTTTAATTTTTTTTTATGTGTATAATCAATACTAATGGAACTATAAATAAATAAAACTAAGTTGGTTAACTTAAGAATATGAATTATCAAATATATATCCGGGATTTCTATCCTAGTCTTACCATTTTTTTTGGCAACAAAAGAAAAAAAAAATCTAATTCCCACAATTTAACAAAAGAAAAAAAAATCTAATTCCCAACAATTTATAAGTATTAATAAAAACAAAAAAACTCGTCGTTTTATATTGGTGTAAAAAACCCAACAACGCCGTGTCGTTTAGCCAACCGCAGCCATTGTCATGTTTTGCTTGAGTCCCCAATTGATACTACAAGCACCTGACACGTCAATTGCAAGGTAAAGACCTCCTCCCGCTTTTTCTTTCATTAAGGTTGCTACCTTACGACTTTTCACCACAAATGGATGATCCTCCATGTCCCTTCCAGATTTACTTGTAAAAGAAGAGAGACTGAGAATTACTTATTCTGTTGGTCCTTCACCATGACTCTTGAGACGATCATCCGCAAAACCCCATGCGTCATTTTTTGCCCCTACTCCTACATCATTACTCCAGTCATGCGTCAAAGTCTTGAAAGTCATCTGAAAGAAGCAATTGTAATCATTGATGAACCATAGTAAGTTTTTGATACAAGCGGTTGATTTTTGAGACTCTAAAGGGTTTATTGTAAAACATATATCATATTCTACAACAATTTGGAGGAGAATACTTTCAGAAGTATGTATTAGACAAATTTTCTTCATACTTCTATTTATTCTTATTAAAGTGTTTACTAATTTGATTTTCTCTTTTGAAGAGTTGGAGACTTGTATCAACAATATGATGTCGGCGAAGCCAAATACTTTTCAAATACATGCAATAGAAGTATGAAGAGAATATTCAAAATTCTATAAAAATTCGAAAAAAAATAAAAATTCAGCAAGGGTTTTGAGATGTCTAAAACTCCCACAGTGAATGCCAACCAAGCAGTTTATCTTTGAACAAATTTTACACATATACATGTGAAAATAAGCTCAATTTTTGAGATTTGAAATTTCTACACCCATAGCGGGCCCAAAGAATGTTGATGTCTAAATCCCAATAAAATTTTTTTTGCCTTTTCACAAATTAAAATATAAAATTGTTTAAAAATTTGGCAAAGCAAGTTTTGAACTCATGACCTTAGCCCATTTAATGAGACTCCAACCATTAGACTACAATACTTTTGAAATTATTAGTTGCCCTAAAAATAAAAATACATTCTGCTACCTAAATAACTTGGGCTTTAGGTTTGGTCCCTAAACTAGAAAGAATCATCAAATTGCTTCGAGCCTCTGTGATTGTTGAAACCTCTTATATAAACACAAGTGTATAAGATGTTTCTTATCTTTTATAAACGTAAGTGTATAAACATAAATATATAACACTGCATTCATCCCAAAGGAGGCCGCACACACACACACACATTTACAAGAGAATAAAAGAAGCTCAATTTTGAGATTAAAAGATTCTACACCCTAACTAGAAAGAATCATCAAACTGATCATGTAATTGATGAAATATCTTTATATAAATAGAAGTGCACAGTTGAAACCATCATATCGGAACACAAGAATAACAACAACAGAAAGACCAAAAACAAAGCTTACAACATGCATGAGATCTCACGAGTCTCTCTCTCTTTATTTTATTCTGGAACCGGAACCAGACTTGGAACGTAAACAAAGCTGCAAACACAATGGTTACGTTCATCTTCAGCGCTAAAGGGTTGTCCAGTCTCAACCTGTTTTTTGATCTCACCCCGACCAATTTCGTAAAAGCTGGTACAAGCATAACCCTCTCCTACAATTTTATCGCACCATAACATGATAGAATTGGTCTTGTGGATGAAGAAAGTCGGAACACACATTAATCTACAGAAACGAGGATTTAAGATAGGGAGATCAGGGCGAGCCACATTAAAATACTTACTCAATGTGACAACCCCATCAGTCACCTTGTTCGTGACCCACACCTCAATCTCCCTTGTTTCGTCTTTGTCTCCAAAGAGTTGACGAAACAAAGAAAGCCTATCTCCTCTGAAAGCTGAAAAGGCTTCTGCGTCATCAATCCTACTCCACTCAAAGGGAACCAAACATATGGGCTTGAATGTCTCCTTGGAAAAATCGAAACTCTGGATGAAGGTTTCCCGAATCCTAGCACCCTTCGTTGTAGCAAGCCAATACATAATTCCATTCATAGAGACTTTTAGGTCGGGGGTATATAAATACCAATCCATGGTAGCAGAAAAGGCTCTCCAGAGTTTAGACTTGAAGTCATATATCTCAAATTCATCAGGTCTAACAGAAATCCTCAAAATCTTGTAGCTGTCCTTGTCGTATCCAAAACCATATATATCAAGTGCAGAGTGAGAACTGGTATCAACAAATTTGACTTGGCCCAAAACTGGATTCCAAACTGCAACATTGACGTTTCTTAATCCTGTGATCCATTTGCATAGCAATAATCCATTGCAGTGAATAACAGACAAGATACGAGTACAAGGAACACAATTGAACTCAGCTGGAACTGGTAGAGATAAGATATCAAGGGTCGCTGGATTGATGATCTCAACATTATCAGAATAAATTCGCATAAATCGTTCCTGGGAGAGATTCAAGTGATTGTAGATGAATCTCTTGTGGTTGCAGAGAGCATAACATTGTTTGCTGGTCGGTTTGCATCGTATCACCGACTCAATTGGAGCCCTGGAGATGATTTCTTCTACTATTTCAAAAGGCAGCCAACAATCCTTAGACGAATAAGCCCTGAAAGCCTTTGGACCCTTTTCCAGGAAGGGATTGTTCGTGGCGTACAGCTCCTCTGGAGAGAAGAAAATTGACAAAAAGAAAATAGTGTAAATGCTTAGTTGCCATATTATACAGAACCAAGGAAGATGCAGACTTTTTAGAAACAACATCACATTCAATTTACCAACAACAAAGAAAAAGCATAAGCTTCTGCATATAGAAGCACCAGGCAGGCACAATTTTGATTCTTAACTAGAAAAATGCCCCCAAATTTCAAGCCATGGTCGTCTAGGTTTCCCAGAAATTGATCCACAAAGAAATAGAAAACTGTAAATAATATACTAGGGAGGGAGAGGGTATGTGTATAGTTCAATTACTCGTATCAGGGACTGACTGAGGATGGTACTTCTCGACGCAAGTTGTCGCCGGCGGACTACCAAACCCGGCGACGTCTTTGCTCTCGTGACTCGGCTGGTTATCGTATACGCCAGTGTCCATCGCCGACTTTATCTCAGTCATCTTCGTCGCCGTACCGAAAATTGCTTCAGAATCTCACGCTCACGCCTCTTTTCTTTCACTCACAAATGAATTTCTCCTCATTTTATACCCAACAAACCAAACGAACCGGAAACGGTTCAGCCTATACTTATAATTCAGCAATTGGACCTGGTTTGGGTTGGGCCGATTGAGAGAGTTATTAGACAATAATAACTGCATATCCCAAAAATCTGATGATCATATATGTCCTTTTTGGGCTTTCCTTCTGAGGATTGCAAGTTGCAACATAACTCAAAAATAAGAAAAATCCCAACTTGTGTCTTAAATCAATGCATGACAAAATGGTGAATATTATATGAGATTATGTCTCAGAGAAGGCTAAAATTTACATATTAGACATTTAGATTTAACTTGAGATATAATAACTTACAACAACGTTCTTACTCTGAATACTTTTACCAGAAAATTTATCTGTCTTTTGCTTAGAACAACTCGAACTCAAGATGATCGCCTATGGCTTTACATTCAAGATACCTATTATTACTGCCTCCTGGCGAATCCGCTGCCCCCTCCGGTCCACCACCATACTCATAGAAATCCGGTAGCTCAGGCGGTATTGCGCACCGGATCAGAGCCCAATTCAATCCTTCAAAGAAAGGATGTCTTTTGATCTCTACAGATCCTTTCTCTGACCCGAGCCTGTTCTCTGGTTCCTTAACCAAAAGCCCTCTGATCAAGTCTTTTGCCTGGAAGCTCACAAGCGGGCTATCGGGAAACTTGAGGTTCTGCAACACAACATTGGCCAAAGTCTCGTCGTTGTTGTAACCTTTGAAAGGTGTTTTCCCGTATAAAAGCTCATAAAGAAGAACTCCGAAAGTCCACCAGTCAACCGCAGCACCATGTCCTTCTCCTTTGATGATCTCTGGAGCTAGGTACTCGTGTGTTCCCACAAAGGAATTGGATCTTGCTTCGGTTGGTTCAGCCACGAGCTGAGGCAATGATCTATTCAAGTGTTGTTGGGTTTTCGAAAGATGATCACCTCTTTTCGGTTTTCTACCTTGTTGTTGGTTTGAGGAGAGCCTAGGGCTGAAACACGAAACCTGGCAAGATGGTTCGATGATACAGAACGGTTGTATGCAGTTGGATGTGTTGTATGGACCTGAAATCCTTGCGGGATCTTTACCAGGCGGAGAGTTTGACCTGAGAAGAGTCGGGTTCACTGCACAACGGAGTGAGAGGTCGAAATCCGTAAGCATAATGTGTCCATCTTCGCGGACAAGAATGTTTTCCGGTTTCAGATCTCGGTATATGATACCAAGCATGTGTAAGTACTCCAATGCAAGGAGAATTTCGGCAACATAGAATCTACAGAAACAAATTTTTATCATCAATTTTAGTAAACTAAATGATCTAGGCGCGAAATGGAAAAGGTAAATATTTACCTTGCTGCAGGTTCAGGGAAACACCGGCCTAGCTGCTTCTGCCTGAGGACATGAAGATCTCCTCCAGGACAATATTCCATGACTAGACAAGACAAATTATCCGAAGTAAATTGCGCGTATAATGTAGGAAGAAAAGGATGGTCCAACATTTTAAGTATTTCTCTTTCTGCTTGTGCCCGCGGAGACTTTTTCCTTCTCGCCAAGAACTCGTTGTCCATAACCTTTATGGCAAACAAACAGTTTGTACCAATCAGCTCAGCAAGATAGACTGTTCCTATATCTCCACAACCAAGCTTCTTCAAAAGGTTGAAGTGTCGTAAACCCAAAGAGCCGTATTGAACCTTGACATGCTTAATTGCTTCCCATCTCACATCCATCGACATGTGAGGCTTATTCCCACAGCTAAATCTACTCAGATTACTCTCCTCACTCATGCTTGTGCTCCTGCTATAATACCCAAGACTATCTTTTGAACTCAAAGAGAACTCGAATTTCTCACTGGAAGTTGGATGCTCTGTTTCTTTTTCTACCATTGCACTGATTCCACTGTTATTGCTCGAGGAAACATCTTGTTTCATTATGACGATCTCAGCTTCAGAGCTTTGACTGACATTACAAGAACCAGAGGAGTTCTCGTCAGATAATTGACGAGCTTCTTTACCAACATTATTTGAAGCAGAGCTCAAACTGTCTGTGCATATCTCAGGATTATGACTAGTAGTATACGAGGGTGGGTGGTTATCAATGCTGGTGCTCTTCAACGAACAGTGACATCTCTGGCAGAGAAGTTGATGGGCACTAGAATCTATGGAAGGAACATGTTCTTCATCGTTTTTTGCTGGGTAAGTTGCTGAAACCACCCCGATTTTTAATTTCTTCTTAAGCAAAATCTTCTTTTTCGGTTGTTTGGGACGTGGAATCATTCTTGTTACTTTGCGTACCGTTTTGCTCTTCTCTGTACCTGAACTAGGTGCATCATCCAACTTCCCTTTCTGTTCTGAGTCTAAAGCAGATGAGAGAATATTTTTGTCATGCTCCGTCCCATTCACTTTCTTGCTAGAATGAGAAGGCAGTGAGGTAACATGTTTGTCTATTTCTATCACTTCGTCTTCAACAAACGCATAAGTGGAAGGCAACGCAACATTTTCATCTAACTCTATCTCATAATCTCCACTGCCAGAACTAAGACAAGACCCAGATTTGTTGGATTTATGCAACAGCTTAATCTCCCGCGTTTGATTCCCCACTCCTTGTAATACCAAACTGGTTCCAGCTTGAGATAGCTCAGAAATGGGGTTAGAATGCTCTTCAAACCGCCGAGGCACGCTCTTTGAAGAGCTTGGTTTATCGTTTACGGGCAACAAAGGTATCTCAACCAAACTTCCTTTACCCTTGTCCACAGGAACAAGCCCAGACCTGCCGCTAGTAGACTCATTCGAAACTTGGTTATACAAACTCTTAATCCTGTCTGCTTCTGAGACCCTCGGAGATGCAGCAGCAGATTTCGACAACCGTTTCTGAGCAGCCATTTCCGACGCCTTGGAAATGCAACGATCCCTCAGAGCCTGCTTCAAAGAAACTGAATCAGAGAGACCAACAAATCTAGGCGATTGAGGTGTCCCTGGTTTTTTCATGGAAGCAATTCTCTTCGAAGGGCTTGTAGTCCTGCTTGGACCGGCACTCGCACTCGTCTCATGATTATGGAAAGAAGAACTCATCAGCCTCGTTGATGGTTTAACAGAAATAGACTGAAAAAGCTTATCAATGTCATACTCAAGAGAACCATGATACTCTCGCTGCTTCCGCTCCAAATCTTTGCTTGATGATCCCATAACCGATTTACCATATCTCCCGGAATGTTTTGGCAATCTAACTTCATCATCTTTCTCTTCCACAATCTCACAAGCGCCTGCAAACGACCCCATCGCAACAGAGTTGACACAGTATCTAAAATCTCTGAAGATAATCAAAAGCGGCACCTAGTTATTCATCTTCTTCTGTGATCTGTTTCTACACAAGATCCTGCAACAATCACAGTTACCTGAATGAAAAAAGAATAATCAGAAAAACTGGTAAAAGAACAGTATCTTCAAATAAAGAACAATGTCTATGGAGTGATAAGAAATAAAATAAAAACTATGGGAAACTAATTGTTAAGAGCAAGGAGGTGAAGAAATTAAAAAGAAGCAACAGATCTATATTGCAAGTTAATAGCTTTAGGTCATTCATTATGTTTTGTAGACTCAATCATGAACCCTACACAAGTACAGATAGAGAGACCTAAAAATTTAATACAGCTAAAAAAGAAAACATTTTTATATAGAAAAATTGTTGAAACCATCGGCCTAATTCGAAATTGGAGATATTTAGAACACTGTGAAAGTAAAATTAGTGGATTAGAAGAACCCTAAAGATCGAAAATTTATAAAAAAGGTTACGAAATTAATAAATCAAACCGCGTAAAAGAAGAAGCTTTGAGTGAGATAAGAGATCTAACAACTAATGAGAACCAAAATCAGAAGTAATCGAAGAATATTCTAAAGTCTCAGATCTCAAAAGCTTTGAATTTACTAGGAAACAAAAAACAGTAGCTGAAGTATGAGTGAAGATTCGATTTAACCCAGTTAAATGCAGCAAAAATCCTCTCTTTTTAAAAAACCCATAAAAATCTCAAATGCCAAATCATAGAGAGCCAATGCGTGAACACATAGAAGCTAGCTAAAGCACACACACCCAGAATTTTTTTAAATTGAAACTGCAGATACCCAAGTGACCACATAGAGATAATGAAAGGTCAGAAAAAGGAAAAATCTTCAGAGAAAACCCACCAAAAAAACCCTGAATACGGTCCCCAAATCTCATGAAATAAAGCAAATCGAAGAGAGAGTTACAGAAGAAAAGAAAAAAAAAGTGCTAATGAAGGCGTGCAGAAGAAAAAAGGTAAGATAAAGAAGAAGCTAGCGAGATATTTAAGGAACAAAGGCTTACCCAGAAAGAAAGAAACAGCTTGCTAAATTTGGGTGAATTTAGAGCTTAGATAAACCCTAATGGCCTTGAGCTTTGAAGAAGAAGATCCAGAGAGGAGAAAGAAAGGAAGAGAAAGTAAAAGTTTTGATTTTTGTGTAATTTTTGTTTTCTGGTGAATGAGAGAGTTAAGAGATGATCAAGTTGAAAAAAAAACATGGTGGGCCCCACAGCATATGTTTGCGGGTCTTTTCTTCATTTTATTAATCCGAAAATAAAAATTAATACTGTATTTTTTTTATTAATCCTTCATATTTTCCTTCACATATTTCACTTCAGAAGATATTTATAATTTACACTATTCCATTTCAAAATTTCTTCGAACTCTTTATTGTCCATAAATTTATCTGAATTATTATTGTACGTTATTTGAATAATTTTGAGCTTTATTCGAATTTATGTTGTTTTTATTCATAGAACATGTACTTGTCTAACTATTAATATTATAAATTGTCATGTCAAATTAATTCTTTGAATTCACCTCCCGGAAAATATTGATGATCAATAATTTACTTCCACCAATATCATGACATATTTGACCATAGTCAAATTGCCAAAGAAATTTCCCATCATTCATCCAATAGTGACTAATCTATAAAAGTTGTATAT